AGTTTAAGAGGCACGCTAGATAACTTCTGTGCGAAACATGAAAGAATTTGAGGAATATGACTACTAGGAAAGGGCATAAAGTTCGTATTGTAGTGAAGTTCGGAAACGATGTGGCGAACGACAGCAGGGAAAGTCCTTTACAGATGTTTCAACAGAATCAGCTGCATATACTAAATGGGTTCTATGACAAATCAATAAATCTACATGAATTGAGCCAATCCGAAAAAAAGGCAAAATAAATTATAGTATACGTACTAGTGAGTGGAAATTTTACAATTCCAGATAGGCGCTGAATTCCGTTCCGAACATAATTTGCTTCGGACGAATATCTATTTTCCCTACTGCAATTGGATAATGATTACACAGTCCGACAATGAAATTTGCCGCAGAAGAAAAATATGTGATTATTATGAAGTTCAGTGCCCTGATGACTATGATGAAAACAATAGTTTGCTATTACCTAAATTTTCTTCTAGAAACGTAAATTTAATCTGCGCTCAGTTGTGATTTTTAACGTTGTCGCGGCGCTTGTCACATTCTGTTATTTCAGGAATATTATTGCCTCGTGGGGTGAGTACAGAGAGAAGGGGGAGATTGTTACTTGGGGTTGGTAAAGGGAAGTTGCAGATGCATCACTCAATCGATAGTAAGGTCTCACAGTATCTATTCTTGAAGTATGTAAATCCCCTAACATGAAGAATATTGTTTGTGCGTGTTTCGTATACTCAACGATATTTAGAAAGTATGTTAATTCACCAAATGTTTTCTATTATATGTGACTAAGTCTCAAAAGCATCCCAATTCTCCGATCGACAAACAGACGTACGAGTTTTTTTAAACAAATAATAATAATAACACGCGGGTACGTGTTGGCCATCACAGAGCTGTTGCTCACGTTACTTCCGCTATTTAAGAGACTGGTTGCATGGAACGCACCCGTCTATGCCATTTGCCGCACCACAGTTGTTGAGAGAACTTAGAGACCACGTTACAGATTGCTATATTTGTTAAACAAAAGTAAAAATTATGTCAAGTAAATCAAAACAGTTTCTTAACCAAATTTGGAGTCTGCAATGCGCCCAGTTCCACATTGTGATTCTCTCCATGATCCAAAACTACCAACGGAATGAACGCTGGAAGATGTATCAGACGGTGATAGTAACAAACCGGCGTGTTATCAAGAACTTCATGGTCACGAAGATCAACGTTACAACCACAGCCATTGTCACAGGCAGAATTGAACAATATTGTAAGACTTCTAAATTTTTCAAAACGCCAAGTAGAATTACTTGGGTCTCGTCTTTCCTTCATTCCTATTTGGATTTCTGTGTTATCAGAATGACGAACAGCAAGACAGTATCGTAGCAAATATTTGTAGAAAACAAACAAATCGATTATAAAAATTGTGACTGCAAACAATTCCCGCCAAGAATCTCATTCAATTGTGGCCCTTCACTGTCTTCGACCTCTTCGAGGGGAGGCGTTGTAAAAATTAAAAAAAGTATTTTATAGAATTTATTGATGTTGATAATAATAGACTTATAGAAAAATATTAAAATAAATTTACAAAGTAGATAAGTTTGAATTATATAACTCATAATCATTTAAGATACTTTTTATCCTCTGCATTTTCAAAGCGTCAATGGCTTTCCTCTGGAGGCGGCCTCAGTGCGTAGGGCCCATCTGCGAGCCCGTGCTCAGCGCTTGGCACGGGCACGCGCCAGATAACGAAAATGAAACTTCCCGCCCGCCGCGCCCGTCGATAACCTCAACGCGACAGGCACGGCCGCTCAAGCTGCTCGAAGCGCTTATCGGCGGAACAAATGCGAACTAATAGGCACAAGCGCGCGCACTTTAGAGAGCGGTGGGCGGATATCAAGACCGGTCTGCCAGTGTGGAGACTAGATGGGCAACCTAAGGGCGTATTCAACATATCATAAAGCGATTAACTACATATCTACTGCGAAATACGAGGTACTAAAATGTAAATGCTTTGGTATCTGTACACCAAAACAAAGATAATTTTGTTGAAATTGAAAGTTATAATATATTTGTTTTGAGCATTTTTTCAACATATGGATACATCATTTGTTCACTATTAAAATAATTTTTTCACTTGTAATTTATTTCTCTTCCGAGATCATTGAAGTGTTGTACTTGATGAAAGGTAGGGAGCGCCATTGCTTAGAAGCTCGTTCTTTGCACCATCTTCACATTGTCTTCCCCGACTCGTTTATTGTTACATTTACTTCGCTGATTGTGACAGGAGGAACAGATATTGAACATTTCTTAATGTTGTATTGCTCTCTTCAGATGAAGATATTATTATAATCATCATTAATAGTGATAATAATAACACAATGATGATGATGATAATAATAATAATAATAATAATAATAATAATAGCACTAATACCGAGCGAAGTAACTCAGCGCATGCGCTATTTTCCTACGGTCACGTAAACGTACTGATTACTCTGCGTTTCTTTTCTTCAACACGACCTATCTTGTATCGCATGGCATATGGACGGTCACTCAAATCATAATTATCTGCACATTAAGATCTAAATAATCAGCCTTTTGCAATCGGTGCAGTTCTATTTTTGTATTTTCAAATTGTTCATTTCTGCTAAATTTCTCCGTACATTAAATATGTACTTCTGTCTTTTGCACGAATCATTTTAAAACATCATTTTTGTGGAAGAATCTTTAAAGAAACTACTCATATCAAATCAATACAAATGCCATCGGCTGTATAGCTTTCAACTGTTCATTTTATCCTTTTTATAATGTGGGAAGAGAGATGAGTGTGTTATTGTCGCATCACTTTCTTGAGACAACACAGATCAGCATTCTGGTATTTGAACCTTAATCTCTTCTATTTACTTCCGTTTGAAACCGTCAAGAATTTTGAGAACCAGCTCGCGGGTAATTTTCGCCGTGGTACGCGTTGTTGGTCGCCCAGCCCACTGGCGCTGCTAGGAAGGGCGCGGGCGTGGCGCACAACTGCCTTTGTCGGGCCGTCTCGCCCCGCCCCGCCCCGCCCCGCCCTCTGCAGCCAGAATTCGCCTCAAGTGGTTCTCTATGTTAACGCAGGCGCTGAATATTCAGCAAAGCAAACAATCGCCCTTGCTCGGCGCTCACGCCCAACGCGCCGACGCGGCCTCCAAAGCGCCGCCCAAGCCACAGGAGAAATGCTGCACTAGGTTTTCACAAATACTATGGAGACAATACATGACACTCGGCGATACAACGGGAAACACGAAGCTAGAGACACTAGTGGCCGGGCCTGTCATAACCATTGTGGTAGCAAGTGCGTGGTCTGGGCTGTCCGGGTGGCGCCGCGTCGAATGCTGTGTTGCCGACGTTTCGACCATCTTGTCGTGGGCTGGTATGTGTACCAGCCCTAAGGAAGACCACGACAAGATGGTCGAAACGTCGGCAACACAGCCTTCGACGCGGCGTCAACCGGACAGCCCAGATCACGCACATGACTCTGGCTGCGGAAGCCTACGACTTCATTGTGGTAGCAAGAAGGAAGTGTATACGTTTGAAAGATTTTTAGTTTACTTACGATTATGTTTACTTACGTTTCGTAGAGTGATGCGAAAGGTATTGTATATGTATTGAGAGAAATTTGAACTATTCGCCGATTTTTCAGGTCAGGTCCGCTTGTGAGCTGTTGTCTACCATTCAACGTATGAGAAAGGTTCAAAGTGTCCTGTATTGTGTACATAGTATTTGGTTTTCATGCCTTTACTAAAATAATATTTTATCTCATTGCCTCATTTGCCTTAAAGTACTAATGTACTCTTTCAAAAGGGTCCACTTCGACAATGCACTGGAAATGATTCAATTGGTGATTGTAATGCAATGAAAATGGAGAGGACAAGAACAAATGTAGTCTTTTAGAAGTGATCGTATTATGTATGACACAACATATGTGTACACGAAGAACGACACATCTGCTCATAAAAAAATCATTTTGAAGGAGGACGGTTTTATTCTCGGCCAAATGCAAATTGTTTTACCCTATATATGGTCGTTTTGTGAACGATATTAACGTTTATTAAGTAAAAATATTACTTTACTGAGCATGATATTTCTTAGCTTGTCTACAAAAAGATGAATTTTGAGATGTGTCATTACCTGATGACATGTCAACGTGATATATCATCTGTCAAATAAAATTAAATCATTGTATCAGGGGCAGATTTAGAGGGAATATTCTGGGATATACTTCCTTTCTATGAATCATTCTTTCTCAGAGAGAGAGAGAGAGAGGGAGAGAGAGAGAGAGGGGGAGAGAGAGAGGATAGAGAGAGCGAGAGTGATTGAGAGAGAGAGAGAGGGAGAGAGAGAGAGAGATGACTGTATTTGAGAGTTTTAAGCTATCATCGAAAGTGAAACTGCCGGAATACGAAATACTGCTCCTACAAATCTATGTAAAATTGAAGGCGTGAAGAGTGGCGCAATGATCCTTTAATATACATATTAAGTGGTTAACCATTCGAAGTTGTGATACAGCATTTCGACAATGTCTTCTAAGTGCGGGAGGTTTGCAAAGGTTCAGCTAATACTGAGTTCTTGTCAGTATAATAACAGAAGTGATATCTATCCGAGTACAGGAGTCCCTTCAATATTTTTAATTTGTTATCTTTATTGCAAATTGGTTCAATTATTATTTCATCAAAAAATACACAGCGATCTTGTAAAACAAAGTATATTTTACATAATTTATTTACGGATTAAACAAATGGTAAAAAAGTGATGAATTCGTAAATGAATTTCAATGCTTATCTGGAAACGATTATTGTACAGAGCAATCTCGAATTATATTACAAGCCTAAAGAATCCTAATCCTTGCAGAAGATGATGACCGTTCCATTAATGTATTTATTTTAATGCCCTCCACAACTCAGAAAAACGTGCTCCGTCGGTCGGTCTGTCCATCTGCCTGTTCACTTCACACTGAAAAGGCGGAAATTTCATATTATGTAGCCGCGTTGCTCAAGCGCTCTTGTGCCGTGCGCGGGGGCGGAACGCGCGCGGGCGTGCGGCGGGGCGCGCGGGGCCGAGAGTGGTGAGCTGGGCACGGGGCGGGGAGGTGCGGGGCGGGGCGGACGGTGCCTTGAGCGGCGGGGATCGGGTCGGGCCGGGACGGAGAGGACGCGGGCGCAGTTGCACACTTTCCGCCCATGCCTCGCGCGAGCTGCCCATCGCTAATTGGAGCAGAGTGAAGCTGCGCTCGCGCGGCACGCGCACTCTCGCCACACGGCTGCGCACAGCGCCCTCTGCGCACGGAGCGACTGAAGCCGAGCCCTTCACACCACGCTGGTACGGCGACCTCAAAGAGCGGATAAAGTTATTTTCCTCTAAACAATCCCTTTTCCATGGCTCTAGTTAGTACATGAAAGGAAAAATTGGCCGTCAGCCATCGCCCTGAGTTAGGTGTATTCTTACGAAGACAAACATCTCCCCAGCCTACAAAAACACAATGTCACACAGACAACACACATTTCAGATGGTGTCCGTTCGAAGTTTGGTTCCAGTACGACTCTATTTTCACCTGGAAAGCAACGATTAACAAATTGCTTACTGTACGTACGGATTAAAATATTTTCATTTTATTGAAGGAAGTCATTTTAACCCGCTCATTTCCCCTCCTCGCGTGTTGTGTGAGCGGTGGTGGAGGAGGCCGCACCGGTGGTGCTGCGAATTACGTGCGGCGAGTTGTATAAAGCTGGCCGTAATGGCGTGGAAATGAAATGCTTGCGTGTTGGGGCGAAGGTTTCCCAGAAAAGTCGGAGAGAGTGCGTGCTCTCAAATAGAAGTGTTTTAATCACCAGTGTGTTGCAAATAGAGAGGACTTTTTGGGTCCTCCCGATGGACTTCAAATGAAACTTTTTTTAGTCTGATCACTATTTTATAGTTTAAAGTTCTCACGAATTAATTCCCTTTATACTTACAAATCGTCTCCATAGCAATATTTCTTAAGACTTCGAAGAATTCAGTACTGCCTTTCGCACATCGCCAGTAAAAAAGAAAAGTGAAACACCATAGAAAACGCCATTTTGGGTTAAGTGAAAAGAATGTTAAGAAAATAGTATAATTTCACTCGAAAAATCTCATGAAGATAGAACACAAGGCAGCCAGTATGTAGAGTAAAATATTGTGTCTTAACCGCGTAGCAAATAGATTCCCCCAAGATTAAACTTTTTTCCTGAAAAAAAAAAGAAAAAGAAAAAAAGAATTGTTGTTTTCCTTCTTGTGCATACTCTCGTACACGATAGATTTTTCTATTTTCTACATTCTTCATCATATAAAATAAAACCACAATTGTCGATATACAAAACTAATAATTAAATAACAGCACTGACAATAAAAGAGATACAAAAAGAGAATGAGCACGAGTTTGCTGATATTTGCTTGGGAAGTTAGTACTTTCGGGGGTGTGGGGGTGTCAAATGATTCAAAGACAGAACATTGTTCAAGCAGAAGCGTCGATACTCTCTACATGAAGGCAAAACAATTTTTAAAACGTATTTACATTCATATTGTTCACTGTCAAAATTCCACAACGAAATTTTTATTAGGAAAAAGTATATTCATAATCTACTCATAATTGCAAAATATTAAAATACAATCTCAGTCACTACTGTAAATCTTTGAGTTGTAAAATTTTATTTTCATCCTCTGGCATACAAAAATTAATAAAAAAAGGTATTGATAAATATAACTGTAGTATTTTAAAATATGTTTTGTTTCCAAATTCATGTGTCAATTTGATGAATCAAGACGTAACGAATCATGCTTTTCTGGAAAGTCAGTCCCAGGTTGGCCCAGACAGCCGGCCAATCAGGGAGACCTCTCCGCCAATCACAGCGCACCTGCCCCTCCCGAGAGCCCAGGCAAGATAGTTTAAATCAACGGGCGCGTAGCGCCGCAGTGTCACTACCCTGAGGAAGCCTGCGAAATGTCGGGCGAAACGTCGGCACCCCAGCCAACGACGCGGCGTCTCCCGGACAGCCGAGAATTCATGGATTCGAGCCGCGGAAGCTTACGTACACATCAGTCAGAATTGTAATTAACAGCCATACATTCAAAACCACCGTAGACGATTTGAAGTTCACCAAAAGATGTTTTTTCTAAAATTGATTTGCAACCTTCTAAACGTATTTAGCTACAAATAATACCAATATATTCGCCTTGTCAAGAGGAAAGAAATAAACTATTGGACACATGGATCACGTTCTTGACCGAACACCTCTGACGTTATTCTACTTATTTTGTCTGCAGAGAGCGTCTCAACTCATAGAATTCAATTTCAGCTAACAATTGTTTCTTTTTTCTCTCTCTTCGCAGTGCCCTCGGCGGCTGACAGTGACTCTTCCAGTAACTCGACCTCATCCACCGAGGCCCCCACGACCACCCCCGCCTCCGCCTCCGCTGACGCGTCGCCCTCCACCCCCACGGCGGAGGCGGCGCCCACCGCCAGCTCTTCGACGGCGGCGGCGGCGGTAGAGGGCGGCCCCACGGAGGCAGCGGACAACAAGACGACGGAGGCGCCCCTGGCGGCGGGCGCGCGCGACGGCTCGGGACGCGCCTTCGGTCTGGACAGCGGCGCCGGCGCCGACAACGCCACGGTGGAGAAGGGCTCCCTGCAGGACCTCAGCCTGGACGACATCGACATGACCATGTTCATGACCACCGAACCTGCCAACGAGACGGTACGCCCATCGCGCACACTCTTTTACACTCTGAACAGGGATTATGAATGCCTGGTTCATAGAGGTTCATAATGCTGCATCACAGATTCCTCATAAACATGCTTATTGGAATTGCGTACCAATGAGACGGCAGGCATGTAATCTCCATGCGATTACGAATTTCAACTAGGTCGGTTAATGTGCTTACGTCACATGTAATAAAGAAATAAGGTTTCAATGTATCATAATGGCTGGTTCTTTAACATTTTTGACAAACATGTAGTAAGAAAGTCAGCGATTGTAATTGTAACTAAAACTTTTTGCAAATATTTAATTACATATACAATTACAATTTTCAATTTCAAATTTATTTTCTATACAGTGCATTTTTAATAATTATAGAAAAATAATTTATGAATTACATGTTGCTACTAGTGTTATTTACTTTTGATTTTCGTAATATCAAAATAATTTTTCTCAGCCCTGTGCTATTTATTAAACGCGCACGTTTTATTGAGCCGTGAAATACCTACTCTCGACTCTTTTACTAACATTAGTTGAATTAATAATAAAGAATAGCAACCTGCGTTGTTGAAAAAAATCTAATGAACATAAATGTTTGCTCCTGTGAAATCATTTTCCATCCAAAAACGGGCTTCAAGTTTGATGTATTAGTCCTGTCGTTCAAATAACCAATCTCCCCATTCCTTGTTCATCTAGAAAGATGAGGGCATAAGAAAACGTGCGGGAATAATAGACGTTCGTCTTCCACTATCAGATGAACTGGAGGTTCCAAGGGAGAGGGACATTGAATTTTCGTTTACCTTCCATTATTTGGCTAAATTGATTTAAATATTTATTTATTTTCAAATTATGTAATTATTTAAACAATAATATTGTAGAGTATCATATCCGCAGTACATAAATAATCTGCAATATAGTAACAAATATGATTATTATTTATGAGCCCCCCCCCCAAGATCCGCCCCGTGATCAGATGCACGTGCGTGGGCGTGGGCGTGGGCTAAGGCGGGCGTGTCGTTGCAGATGGAGGGCGTGGAGCACATGCTGGCGTCGCTGGCGCCGTCGGGGCCCGTGGCGGGGCCCGTGTGCGCGGAGGCGAACGGCAGCTTCGCGGTGGGCGAGCGCTTCAACCGCAGCTGCGAGGAGACGTGCGTGTGCGCCGAGGGCGGGCGCGCCGACTGCCGGCCGCGCTGCCAGCTGCCGCTCTTCCGACGCGGCTCGCGCCTGCTCGACGCCGCCTGCTACGAGAAGGAGGCCGCGCAAGACCCCTGCTGCGCCGTGCTCGTCTGCACCGGCGACACCGGTGAGACACGCGCCCACGCCGCCATCGTACTAGGAGGGTAACGGGAGCGCACTGAAGTTAAACTAAATATTTTACGTGGCGGGACTCAGGCCATTAGGCCTGCTCTTCCGTCTGACCGCGCAAATTTCGCTATGCTCCTTTCCCCAACTAGCAGAGTTATTTCTTGGGCGAGAAACAGGCGATTTCAATTTAGCTCAGAGGCGTCATTTAGGCTTAGGATCTTTTACTTGTAAGTAAATCTACTAACATGGGACACCCGGCTTTACTTCTCCTCCGAAGGAAGGCGTACGAAGGATTTTTTCGCCCTTAAAAATCCACGGCTTCGATCTGGTTTGAACCCGCCAACTTGGGTTCAAGTGATGGCCTACTGACGAATCTGACGGCGCTCTGGCGGGTTTACTGACGGATTCATTGACGGCGCACCGTCAACTCACTGACGGCCTGAGTCACACCACATACAAATCGCCATCACATTAGGAGTATATTGAGGACGCTTTGAATGCTCACGGACTGCCAAATGATGGGGTTCTGATGGGGTCACTGACAGTGCGCCGTCAATTCTTTGACGGCAACTGACTCCGAGTCAAACCACAACCAAACCGCCATCACTAAGACGAAGCCTCGCTAACAGCACTCTGACGGTTCATTGACGGCCCACTGACGGCGACCTGACAGCGCATGTCATAATGTCATAAATGTCATCTCACTGACGGCGCATTGATAGAGCGCTGGGGACTCGGGGAGGACCAGCTCTGTTCGAGATGAGCGACAGTTGTATCGTTTACCTGTCCGGTAAACACGAGCGACAATTCGGCCTGTGAAAATTGGAAAGTCACGAAAAATATCCGTCTGTTCTCCGTTTTCTCCTGATTGCTCTAAATGTCATTGCGCATAAACCTGCACTGCTACAAGATATCGTTTTGTAAAAGGTTCCTTTCAGTTCCGGACGCAGTAAATCCGGACGGGTAAAACTTATTGGTTCCTCAACTGATGCCTTAGCACATGTCAATATAGTGATCTTACCCCTTAGAAAACTTCCCACAGAACATGTCATTTATGTTGGTTTAAAACGGTGCTGATATTTATTACGTGTGACAAAAGCTATAAATATTGTAAAATATAGTTCGTGTGAGTGGTTGGAGATCTGTAAAAAAATTGTAAGTAAACCCCAGTATTAAAAATTGTACACTATCACTTCGGAGCATTGCCAAATATTTACGATAAGAAAAGTGCCTAATTGAATAAAAATTGCAGACTTGGTTTTAAATCTTGATGTTCATTTCCTTTAAATTTATGTCATGTAAAATGGGAAAGTGTCACCCTTCATTAGAAAAGTGTAAAGTGGAGAAAAGTTCATTAATTACTGTCACAGTTGTGAGTTTGCCAAGAAACAAAACATTACTCTCTCATTAGAAGCAATGACACTTATGAATTTAGCATATTTAACCACCAGCCGTGACTATGACTGCACATGGTGACAAGCAAGATATCTTTGCAATGTCGCGTTGCAATAGTAAGAAATCATCGTTAGCAGTGGAACAGTAAAGAGGCGTTGTTTTTAACACACTTTTCTTTAAGAAATTGCTATGTTTATGGTAAATATCTGGAAATAAGAAATAAGACAAATTCTTATAATCGTCATAAAATTCAAAACTATCATTTTTTCATTATTAGTTAAAACTTAAAATTTCAGAGTAAAGTTTGCGTGCATTTCGTGTGCATTAATGTTGACATAACATTTAATATGTTTATTTCATGAGTTGATTCAAATTTTTTAAAATGAAACATTAGATTTAAAAATAAATATGTAATTTTTATTTGTACTACCTTAAAATAATATAAATTAATTTCTTCACATTACAATTTCAAATTAACTTCTAATGAAGAATACGAAAGACAGAAACAATCAGTACGGAAAATGCATTAGTTTGCAGTAATGTATATTTTACTACATCGCAGATAGCTAATATCATTCCAACTTACGAATTTCAAAGTATTGTTCAATGGTTAATTTTAAACAAATAGAAAATTATATGAGGACTGTTTTCAATCAGTTATTTCTCAAGAACAAAATGAGTCGTTTACATATTAACATTTACAATATAGTGCAATGTTCGTTACATTCTATTTTCATTCTTCACCAAAAGTACTCATTCTACCTGCTGTTCCATTGTCATATATCAATAATCGAAAACATTTCAATATTACTCGTGGAGTCATCAATATTGAAAACGGTTCCTCAACATTCGTTCTCTGAATTTTCAAACAAAAACAACGCATGAAATTAAATTTAAAACGTCACAAGACACGGACGTGTTTATTGAACTGAGGGAGATCGAACTTGGAGACTTAAAGTTGGGCGGCGTCTTTTAGATTTCCATGGCGACAGTAGGCGCCCAGTCAATCAAGTAGCATCGCCCCCGGCTGACCCGCGTTGCCGATGGAATGAAAACATCAGTGTCTTGAGTCGCCACAGTAGTCTTGGATTTGAAACAAATATATGCGTTTGCTACACCATCAAATATTATTAAGATTTCCGATTAACACATCTTATTGAACAGAAAACTTGCTTCTGCAAGAAGCTTGTGCGTTTGGTAACATTGCAACGAGTACAAAAAAAAACATTCTCACGAACTACAGAAAATTCATTTCGAAATTAAGTTAATTAGAATTCATGTTGCGATAATTCCAATCCTATCCAAGTAATGTATATAACGTAGATGTAATGAGGGTTTCGTGTGGTGTAGAAACGGAGCCTGTGGAGGAGTGCCAGTTCAAGAACCAGACGTACCAGCGCGGCGACAGCTTCAAAGACGGCTGCGAGAGCGTCTGCACGTGCGGCGAGGCAGGGTCCATCACCTGCAAACCCAGGTGTGTGCAGCCAACGACGTCACTTTTCTGATCAGTAGTAATAATTCATTTGTAAATATTGATATGAATTTACTACCCATTTCTCGGTTAGGCAGAATCGTACAAAATCATTTATAAGTATGGTGTAATTCCTATTTTCAATAATACCACTGAAAATTTGAAAATATCAAAAATCTTCGTATTTGAAATACTAAGAGTTTTCGTTTGTAAAGTAGTTTGAGCTTCGTACTCAAATAAAATTCGTAAATATTGCTTTGAATGTAAGATAGTTGGTCGTATTTGAGTTTTACCTTGCACTTAGTAACTGATTTTATAGAATAAACACTAAACATTATGTTAAATATATTCTAGAAAATTCCGATTTTCATTACAAATTACAAAGTTCAAATTTATTTTCGGACCTCTCTTACATTTCCAACATCAAAGCCGGAATTTTCTTTTTCAATGCAATTTATTTCTCAATTTTAGATTTTCAAAAAATGCCTTGCATTTTTTTAAAAGAAAATGAGTATTTGTTGAGTGATAATATTAATAACTATAAGAGGAGGAAAACTTTCGGCATTCAGCACATTCTCACTAGTTTTACTTTGGTTTTGGTGTGGTCGATTGTTGTGCACATCATGCTGCTAAATTTGAAATATTTACACACCAAGTATTCCTGACAAGAAATAGCGATACACTATCAGGAGAAGTAAGATATTCTGGTACAGTAATTCAGAATAAACTTATTCCAAAATGGGAGAGTTTAAAATTCAATCTAATTTTCGTCAACGTGCATTTTCAACCTACAATTTTAATATATCAAACAATAATTCACGGAATTGAACCACATTCAAAATACAATTCGTGAAGGCATTTGTTTGACGGTCATTAAGTTTCTAAGAATTCAATTGAAGACGGGAGAGCAAACATTTAAAACTTATCATGCAATTGAAGAGCACGAGAGTTCATGATTTTCCCTATGCACATACAGTGTCTTTACGTACGTCCAACCCTAACAAGTGTTGTCACTGGCGTGTGCAGGTGCGCCCCGGTGAACAACACTGCGTCCGACAGCTGCGTGGCGCTGCCCGACCCTGCGGACCACTGCTGCACCGTGCTACGCTGCGACGTCACCCTGGCGGACCGCGACGTCAGCGATGCTGGTGAGCGCCACGCCAATGCCCCGCTCACGCGCCGTCCACTCCTCGTCCACATCCCGCCCCACGTCCTACAACACATCCTACCCCACTCCATGTCCCGACCCCCGCGCCGCGCCAACGCCCCGCTTGCGCTCCGCCCGCCCCACCCTATTTTCAACCCATCCCGCCTCAATTTTCCCTCTCTTGTCATACTTACTCTCGTTCCCATTCTCCACGCCCCTTCCCTACACGCCACACCCACACACCGCCCAGCTCTGTCGCTTTCTGATCCATCGGGAATTGATTTTCAAATTCATGTCAGCAAGTCTTATCCCACTTTTATGTTCCCCAGCTCATCTTCTTTCGTCCCCCTTTGACCCATGTTCCACCTCATCCCGCCTCCACACTCCTTCTTCCTTAGTCCCGCCTTGTCTCATTTATTTCCGTTTAGCCCCGTTTCTTCCAGTTTCGTTCCGTCTTCTAACACATCGTTCAGTATTGTATCATCTTACGCATGCTTATTCTCGGACGGTAGCTCGGTGTTGGACGTGAACGTGTCTGGAATGTTAACTACGGCTGTCCATACGCTCATTCACACGCCGAGTACCTCGTGTGCATTCCTTAACATACACTTCTTTTGTATCTGAGTGATGAGAGGGCCTGTGGGAAAGCGACGCGGCGCGGAGGCGCAAAGAAGTACCGCTACTGGATTGTTTGCGCGCCATCTTTATCTGCGATCTCCGTTCATGTGTGTTATGCAGCAAGCAAGTCATGGATACGTCACGAACTTAACACAACTACGTTTACGACTGTTGTACTATTTACAGATTCTAAGCAATTATTTTTTTCAACGTTAGCGAGTAAAAAAGTACAAACGAATTTGTGCGCCATTGGATCAATTATTAATCTGAATGTCTTTAATGAAAGAAGATAGATGGAAGTCATTTCTTTCACAGGTTGGAGAAACTGCGAGTAATTTGAATTTTAAAAAAATCAATTACGAAAATGTGATCATCAATCTTTAGATCATTATGACTTTTTTTCTGTTTTCGAGGAAAGGGAGGAAGAGAAAGGGGAAAATGTGCTAAAAATAGATTAAAAAATCGAGGAAAGGAGGCGAGGACGGATAACATGCGAGTGAGAGAATTAGAGATAAGAGACACAGAGCAAGAGAGAAAAAATGGAAATGCACGTATTAAGAAAGTATATGTAATCACAATTAATAAAAAAACAGACTTATATTTCGGGATATATACTTTGCATTTACTCTTAATTTCAACATTTCTACCCTTTGAATTACGTGTAAACGAACGGTGGTAAATGCCGTGTTGTGGGCACTCCATAAACTTCGATCTGCCTCTGGGAAAGCATAACTTTAACTGGAACACTGCAACAGGAAATTAAAACGTGAAGTTGTGTCTTCCAACTCTTGTTTTATCATTCTCTGCCTTTTGTCACTTTCACGTTTTGTCACCAAAACTGAAAAATATTGCATGAGTGGGCAAGATATGAACTTTGTTCCTTTCATTCTCTTTTTAATTAATATGGATCTACAAGGCACTTTTACTAACCATTCGATTTAAAATTCAAAATATCCATAATTAAATATCATATATATTGTGGAAAATAGTGGCTAATGGAAATGAACTTTTGAAAGAAGTTGTGGACTAGGGACCATGGAACTCATATAAAAATATATTTAACGACTAATACAAATTTGAATTATCAAATATAAACTCGCCTACAGAAAATGGATAATACATGTTTAAGAGTAAACTAAAAAAGTTTCTTTCGACTAAAAAGTCACTTTTATACGTAATGTTTAAACATGTTTCGCTTGCTAATCTATTTTAATGGTGGTTGCTACAAATAATATTTACAGAGATGCAACAAATGTTCTCGACAGATTTACTCATTTACTCTATTCAATTTCTTCGCTCAAAAATTATGTCAGCCGTTGTATGTAACCTAAGGTTCCTGTGTGGCCATAGTCGAGATAACTACAGACAGATATCCTGGTAAAGAACGGTTGAAACCAAAAGTTTTCAAGATCACTTCATTTGACCGAAGGAAAAAAGCCTCGATTACACAGTAACATATACAACAGCTTGAGTTGTTCAACTGGACTGATTTTCGCCATAGTTTTTACGTTGTATTTCTTTGCTTTTAGAGCAACTTAGAACCATTTTAAGAGCTTTCTATTGCTCAGTTTTGTCGATGTTGAATGTAATGAAAATCCGCCCCTAGTATTGAAGCGGAGTACGTCTCGATGCATGCGCTAACGCGAGCCAACGGGGGCGTGCGCAGGCGGCGAGGAGTGGGTGCGGCTGACGGGGGCGACGGCGCTGAACGCGACGGCGGCGCGCCTGGAGGTGCTGGGGGGCGCGCTGCCCGCGGGCGCCGTGCTGCAGGCGTCGTACGACGGCGGCGCCTCGTGGACGCGCGTGCCCAGCGACGGCGCCGTGGCGGCCGGCCTGCAGCCCGGGAAGGCCGTGCTGCTGCGCGCCGTCGCGGCCGGCGCGCCCTCCAACACGTGGCAGGTGACGCTGCCCGACGAGCCGCACCAACGTGAGTGCACGCACGCCCCTTGCGAATGAAGACCACGGGGCAACAACATGCTGTGCCTCTACACGAAGTTTTTAGAAAAAATGTTTAAACATTTCCATAAATAAATAAGATAAAGTCTGGCATATGGTATTTTCTTTTTACAAACTATCAATATTCACATGATGAAATATCCACGTAACGTCTACTAAGATGTGAACTGATTGCGAAACCGAAATTCACTAATATCTCAATTTCATCTGAAAAGTGGCATAGCATGTTATTGCCTCACGGTCTTCAATTCAGCTGCTCTCTACACATTCACATATTTCCGGGGGAGAAATGCCGTGTTTCTGGGCGCATCTATGGCTAATACTATTAGTTCCGTAAGTGCAGTTTATGCTTATATCGTCGGAGCTGGCGTCGATCTTCCTCCGCTGGATCCGGTGTGGACCTACACGCTCTCTTGTGGGATTTCCCTCAACCAAATATCTTCTACCAGCCAGGACAACCTTTAATCACCCGACTAGTTTTCCGACATGTGTGGTAGTGTAGTGCGTGTAATTGTATCTGTAAACAGCCCACAATGCGAATTCTCGTCCTGTCAGCGGCTGAACTGGACATAGTATCGAAAATTCTGCCACCAGCGTCAGGACTGAAACTTTTGGCACTCCCGACCAGAGGCGCTGCAGTGACATCATTGGCATACATGGCTTGAGTCACGTAAACCAGTGAAAAATATCATCGAGATTGCCGTTATACTATGAATACTGAATTCCTATAATGTTTTGTCTTCGGACGCACGAATACGTCTAAAAGAAATGTTCCAATTTCGTTGAAATCTGTACGTCTTTTAATTAACAAAACATTCAAAATATATCTTAAACGATGTCGAAAGAACTGCTAATATATTCTGGAGATAATTTTCAGACCGGAAACTCGTGTCCCATCTCCTTGATATCGTTTTCAGGAGATTTTAACGAGCCTTTCTGAACAATACAGGACAGTTGACCTCCGAACGCCTATTCCATCGATTCATTAATTCATTTGCGTTTTCTTAGTTTGTGTTTAAACAAACTAGACTTTCTCTCCAATGATATGAAGCACTAAGCATCTCTATTTTAAGCTTACTGAATTCACTATAAAGATACGATCGTGGGCGGAGAAGCATAAATTGTCGACAAACTCATTCGCAATAACTAGGCTTTTTCAGAAAAATCGAGAGACACACTAGCTCATCACATCGTAAAGAACATCCTTGCTTTCTTTCGTCTATGCTAAATTATTCACCGTGATATTTATGTCACGGTTTATATTTAATGCAATTTATACGAACTTTGATAACGTAATATTTTGCTGCCCGAAAAAAGGTCTCCTAAAACGAAGACAGAGGGTAGAGGAAATGATCGTGGGACAGGTGCAGAGGACATGAATAGGGGCGAGGGTGAGGTTTAGGAACGTAGGCATGCGTCGTTTCTTCATCGTCCTCCTTGTCCTACTCCTCCTCCTTATCATCATCCTCATCCTCATAATCCTCCTCCTCATCACCCTTATCATTCTCATCATCCTCATCCTCCTTATCCTCCTCATCCTCCACATTCTCCTCATCCACCTCCTCCTGATCATCATCATCATCATCATCATCATTGAATGTTCTGCACGCAACTGTCTTTTAACAGCCTCCATTCATTTGCGCCGTTGCTTTAATCTTTCGCACCCGTTATTCTCCTCTTCCTTTCAGATAATATGATAAAATAATGATAATGTTTTTTGCTTCTAGTCTTATAGAACTGGCCGCCTTTGAGAAACTCAGTACTAACAATAGTCAATTAGCCACATCCTGACTTATGTATCTAGTTTGAGACCTGTTTATAGTTCCATATCATAGTACCACTTAAGAAAGATTGTATGTCACTTTATTCGGACCCGGTATTGCATTTGCACAGTTAAAGACAAAAATCAGTAATTCTCCAACAAACATCTCCATTCTAGAGCGTATTCCAATCAAAATGCATTAAAGGTCATAAAATAGTGTGTTCCGTGTGTTGTCTCCGCTGATGTTGATTGCGACTAATGATGTTCCAGATGCGATGCCGGAGGCGATGCCGGAGGGCGGATGCGTGTACAAGGGCAGCAACTACTCGCGGGGCGAGGAGTTCCACGACGGCTGCAAGGCCTACTGCCAGTGCACGGAGCAGGGGGTACAGTGCGCTGACCTCGAGTGCCCGTCGGACTTCGGGTATTTACGCCACTTACCGCTTTATATCCACTATTGAGAATCATTGACAATTTTCTGAACAATTAACTTTCGAGTTAAGATCTACTAATGCAACCCAAACTAAATAAATCCTTTTTCGCGTGATACAGAAAGGAAGGTATACCTCAACTCGTTGCTTTGAAAGTTGACTAGTTGTTGTTTCACTCTTGTAAGTCCTTCTGAACATGCTATTTCCTCCAGACAAAGAATGTCGGACCCTCGTCACGATAATTCACAAGAAGTCACATGATCTAATTGATTGTTTAGTGTTTTCGGGCATGTCAACTTCAAGGGTCATTAGTCCCGTATCTCATGGTCTAGTTTATTTAATGCGTGTACAGTGTTAATATATGAATATCACACGGTATGAAAATCTAGGAATTATATTTTATGTGTCTGTAGGTTTGACAAACAAGAAACCAAAATGAGTCAGAAAATGCGTTTTTTTTCACAAAATACCCTTCAGGACGCACACCATAACACCAAAATCGACAGAAACCAAAACTTTTTATATGTAAATCCATTTGGAATACACGTTTTTTAATGATCAAACTGGTGTTAAAGTGTGTAATTCTAAGAATGTTATTCCCGAGGAGAAAAATTCGCGTTGTCCACAGAAAAATCGAAATCATTTGACCAACAAATATAAAACCTCAATTCAATTTACAGCAAACCATTTACATTGGCAGAACAGTACTAAATTAAACTTCAAAGGAATTTAGTAAACTGGTTGTAAACCTCCCCAGGCCACCCCCTTCGATCTGTCACCGATTTAAGGTGTTAAGTTCGGGAAAACTGTATTGCTACTTGTACAAGGGTCCGTGATCCTTTTCTTACGGTACCGTTCCGGCATTCGCCTGGTGTTGATAGAAGAAACCAGGGGAATCATCGACCAGGACAGCTTGCCGTTAGCATTGTCCTTCAGACAGCAGTCGAATTCGACATAGGTGTCAATCCAGAGTCGAAACTCCTGATATCGTCGAGATTTGAAATCTACCAGAGGGATCCCGGTCATATGCACTGCCGTGACATCCATTGATATTCTGAGCCTCGTATCAATTGATATCCTGACACCTCGAGAGAAGCGGATAGCCAACGAGATCGTTTGCGTGGTCGCGCAGGCTGGACGTGCTGGACCCGCACTGCCTGCGCTGGGAGGTGCTGCCCGTGGGCTTCGAGCCGTCGCCGCCGCGCTGCTGCCCGGACAGCGTGCGCTGCGTGAGCAACGGCACGTGCGACTACGGGGGCGAGCGCTTCGCCAACTTCGCGCACATCCCGGCGCGCCTCACGGGCTGCGAGCGCCGCTGCTACTGCGACGCCGGCAACGTCACGTGCCAGCCCGCGTGCCAGCCCATGCCGGCCGCGCCTCCGCCCGACCTGGCGTGCGCGCCGCACGAGGCCCGCCTCGACCACGTGCCCGGCGACGACTGCTGCCTGTACTGGACGTGCCCCGCGCCGCAGCACCCCGGCGCCGCCGCCGGACACAGCACGCCCGGTACGTGCCCGCGCTCCCGCCTGACGTCGTACACTGTCTTCTTCGAAAGGCGACTCCACACATACGGCACTCTCCCAGCAACGAGCTACTGCTCGCACAATCCCGAACAGCCGATGTGTTCGGCGAATGTTCGCACTCTTTGATGTGTCCTAAAGACCGATATGTGTAGGGCGAGCACCGAATGTTCGTCACTCGGCAAGTGGCTAGCAACTCAGCCACACTACTCGGGATTCGGCGAGCGGTTTACTCGGAATTCGCCGAAAAACTAATGTGTGGAGCCGTCTTAAGGTTGCCTTCTACTTCTATCTTCTTCTATACCTCTATTTTCCCCTATGTCTATATTTTTTCCTTATGACTGTATCTTCTTCTATGGCTGTATCTTCCCCTATGTCTGCAACGTCTCCTACGGCTGGAATTTCGCCTATGGCTGTAACTTCTCATTCGGCGATATCTTCCCTTACGGCTGAATTTTCTCCTATGGTTCCGATTTCTCCAACTCCTCTCTTTTACGTCTCTCCTCTGCCCACAATAAAAGTGTCATGATACCTAAAACAATTTTAAATACTTTGTAATATTAAGACTGACATACCAGTTACAATTTGCGTAGTATAAACGATAACTCAACGCAAGAAATCAATGTTCTGGCTACGTTCGTGAAATGGCCTTCCGCTGTAAAGATTTTTTATATTCTACATGAATACGGCTGATAGCTAAACCAAACATTATTTAAAATTATTGCCATACATTTTCACTTTGATAAAGTTTAATAAGAATCAAATTTAATTTTGTTGAATTTGATGAAAGATTGTTTTCAAGATTAGATCGGAGTAAAAAAGTACATTTTGAGTGGCAATTGCGAGTAAAAAACAAAAATTATCATGAAACTTTAACGCAAATATTGTGAGAACTAATTAAAGTAAACTTATGCCGCTCTTATCCGGAATTTCCAAAAAAATATTGCATTTTTTAGTGCTAGTCAATGCTTGCCGTGCAATTTCTTCCCACATAAAATATTTCGAAGACAATCTCAAAATGTAGCTATACGTTAGCGCCTCGATTCTGTATTATTTTTTGAAAGCCTGTGAAATGTGGATAAGGTTGGCGCCTTTTAAAAATTATTTCCTTATAGTACATGACATCCTTACCGATTTATCACTACATTCAAATACAGTTATTATTAATTATTTTCTTTTACAACTAAACCCTTTTTATTCCTCTATTTTTACAGTATCATGAATATTAATACATTAAGGTTTTTTTCCAGCGATCTTCTGTAATTAATAATTATCGTTAACGAATGGAAGTGAACAAAACCTTTAACTCATTATAAAATACTCAGTGAAGATTAGTTCATATTTCATGAGGAAATATCTTTCAGATTTCCAAGAATTTTTGTAACATGTACGCTTTTCTCTGAATTTACCTATTCCTTTCACCAACTTAAGTGTGCCTTCTTTTTGTGATAAGAATAATTCCGTCATGGTACACGAGGCATAGTACATCGAACAAGCTCCGACTTGAACTCCCAGAAATACTGCACTGGGGATCGAACGCTTCCAACGTAACCTTGATCTTGATATCCACCTTCTTTCTAAACAACCTGCAGCAGTAATAATTTACGCCGTGGAGTTTCGTGCGGGGGTTTTCGGCTGCATCGACCCGCGGTTTTCTGGCACCGCACCGTTTATTCGTGCGAAGTAGCCGAATCAACGGCGAGAAGAGCCACCGGAATCCTAATCCAGTCAAGAGCTTAAGAGGCACTCTAGGGACAGACCAGAGCGGATACGTTGTATAGATACACACTGCAATAAAAGTACGAATTAGTAGTTTCCAATGAACATAAATTGAAAGAAGCTATGCCGCCTTCGGCAATGTGAGAGGCTTCATTGGATACTCAGATACTAAGGAAAAAATAAAAGTAATGAAACAGTTTCCACTTTGGCTGAAAAATGCAAATATATGATTGTGTTATTCCGTACGTTTTCTAACTGCCTGTACCGACAGATGTCAGTATATTTAATATGTCACTACTGAAGTCACACAGATGTCACGGGACAACATGGCTCCAATAATGAAGACGTCTACCATTAAATATTATCCATTCGAGTGTTGCGTTATGGAACTGAATTTATTTTATATTCTTGGTATGTCCTCCAATATTCATGCGTACCCAACAAGCCAATTCTCAACGTTTTACGTTTGATTAAACTACCTATTGCTCTTTTTTTTGCTGTTACCTTTCTCAGAATTGCTATCTTTCCATTCTTCTCACTCTGGCATTAAGGGTAAAACAATGTGCATCAAACATCCCATTTCATTGCCATCATGACGCTCCAAAAGTTAAGAATTAATTTACAGGATTCAGACAACTGGCTAATGTAAACAATGTTCTACGTAATGATATTTATGTACAGGATACAACGTAAATAGGTAAGTGCGAATGTTCTGACAAATTTGTACCGATAATTGTCAAATACTTAAAGTTTAATACCGCGATATTTATTTTATTTGATCGGATTGTCTAGGTCAAATACTTTCATATTGGCTGCTTTTACAGATGTCCTCAAAAAAGTAAAACCTGCAAGATAAAAATAGTTCTTCTATGTTTTGTTTTAAACAGACATCCTCTTGTATAGCACCGAAATCATTTCCAATCAATGCGGTTGTAATATGTTCCTTTCTAAGGGTGTTTTTCGTGACCAGCAAATCTGACATCCGTTACCATGTTTTCTGCCCTTTGATGACAAAGTGTTTCCGTCCAAAAGCTTAACTAGATTCGAATTTCCGTGTACCCGAAAGCACGAAGATGCGGATGAGCTAAAACAGCACCAAAATGTGCAGGGAAGAGAGCACAATTTACTCGCCTAAAATCTTTGCACAGCAAAACTTATTGGTGCACCTCTTTGCAAGGGTAACATATCTAAGAAGATTTTTAGTGAAACTCTTATTACACAGAGGCGCATTCAGTGGCTGTTTGTTAAACGAATCTTTGCTAATAACGCATTCAGTTCAGCGGTCTATAATTCACAGCATGAATTTAATCAAAAAAATCGAAAATTTGTTCTAAAAATATTAATTGTAAAATTCAAAAAAAATAAGTAGAAGGTTGCAAGGAAATGAAACTGACTGGCTGGGCTTTTTCCAGGACAAACGAGCACGGGACCTGACGAGACAGCAACCGAAGGGTCGAGACCGAATACCGAATCGAAGGCAAACGACGGACAGACGTTCTCCGGACCGTTCGTTCTGAACCCCGACCAAACTGCCGGCTCTCTCAACGTTATCTCGACCGCGCCCTGTCCCACCACGAACACCCGACACCCGCCCCCCCCCCAGCCACCACTCGACGCCAGCGCATCCGCCAGCGCGCCCCGCACCCCCCACCCACGACCCTCCCACCCCGCTCTCCCCAGCTGCCTCCACGCAGTAAGGCCCAAGGAGCGAAGGTCAAAGTCGAGCTCAACACAAGCCCGCGCGAAGCGCGGCGCATATGAAGAACGCAGTCCGCGTCTTATTCTCGACTCTCAAGGTCTATAGGACGACACGGCGCCCTACAGCGCGCCGCACACAGCCGGCCCCCCCACAAGACGTTCCGCCCGCTCCGCCCTTGCCCCCGCCCACGCCGTAAGAGCCGACATGCCCGACTCGGGAGGACGCTGAGTATGCCCGACATGGCCGGCCCATGGCGCGGAGGCGGATCAGGACGAGGAGGAAGGAGCCCCGGCGTTCCCCGCCGCTCCACCCGCACAAACCCTGCCCACCGCGGCCCCACCGACCAGCGAGATCCCGAGGTGCACATTTTGCACGAGCCGTGCTTACCAAAGAGAGCCCTGTTCCTCGGGCCAGGCCCGCCCGCCTCACACCCGCTCCGCCAGCGCACGCCCCAACGCCCACCGAGTGCCGCCGCCCGCGTCCCCCAGGCCCCACGGAAGACCAGTGGAGATCTACCTGCGACACCTGCGTTCCGCCACAGGCGCCGCCCCCTGCACGCGCCCGCTCCGCTCACACGCCAGCCGCAGCCCAGCGAACGAGGTAACACAGGCCTGGCAAAACTCATCCACCACCTGCAGCACAAGCCTGCTCCCCGGGGCAAGCCCCAGCGCCCGCCGCCCCGCCCCCCTGGCCGCAGTCCCCCGAACCAGTGAGTACCCTGCTGCACCTGCAGCCCCAGCAAGACCCTGGCTCCCGCCCCAAGCACCCGTCCCAAACGCACCCGGGCAGCCGTCCACCGACGCATCTTCTTTGCACCTCTCAACAGGCAAGGCCTGCTGCCTTCCTTTCGATATTTTTTTTTCGGGGCGGGGAATAACTATTTTTTTACCCCGGGGGGGGTGGAAAAAATACACTTTTTTTGGGGAGGGCGCCGCCCCGTCCCCGCCCCCGCCCTGTGCATCCTGCCCCCAACTCTCAGCCGCCTCAAGCCCCGCCCCCGCGGAGCCCCGTAGCCCCGCGGCAACTGCTACAGTTCACCCTTCAGCAGCGGAGGGCCTTGCTCCCTCCCCCGCCCCGCAACGGCAAGCCCAACATCTAGCGTCCTCGCCCCTCTTCTCTGTTACTCACTGAGTCGCTGAGATCTCTTCGAAAATTTTTTCCTACTCTGTCAGCAGCTTGTTATGCTTAGCAGCAAGGCTCCTAGCGCCGCCCTATCTAGCTAGGAGATTCTGCAGGTTGCACTGGACCAGGGTGGCGGCAAAGCCTCGGCCAACCGGCAGGCAAAGGGCCCCGTCTGCGCGGCAATCAGGCCCACCACGACGATCGACGGGACGTGCTGGGCCCACTTCCAGCAAGGCCCCCTTCGCTGCCCTTCCAGCACTAGCCAGTGGGCGGGTCGCCTGGCGGCGCCTCGCCGCTCTCGCTCACGAGAAGAGCTCATCTTCCAGCTGCAGCTAGGCAGGGCCTGCTCCTCGCCGGCGGCCCACGCCGTCAGCCCGGCGGGCGCCCGCCGCTACACCGCACCCGCCCCTGCTACTGCCGCCCCCTCCCCCTCACCCGCGCAACCGCTCGCACGCAGGTACGAGCCCACTCGCCCTGCCCTCGCCCCCTGTACAGCCACGCGGAGCGAAGCCTGCCTCCCGACCCTGGCCCTCGCCAGGACCCTTGTCCTGGCACACTGCGTTGAAATATATACAATCTAAAACTCAGAATCACAAAATAACGGAGAACGAAATGTACTACTTGCTATTAATTGTCACAATATCATGTCATAATTACATTTCTGATACTTTCAAGAATAATATTGTATCCTTTACACTGGTACAATAATCTGTAAAAGGTATCAGGGTGGAGAAATAATAAATGCACAACATGAATGTACCAGAAAATGTAAAAGGTAACTCCAGCACACCAGTTTATGATAAACATAAGTACATCATTACGCTATTTTTCAACATTGCCGCCAAGTTCGAATAATCCATTCCAACCTAGCACAAGTTTGAATATACTCTGTGATTAGAAGACGATTCTGCGTAGAGCAAACAACGAACAACCGATCTAATTTTGGCATAAGAAGTGAAATCTTTAACAATTCGTATATATTCATTAAGCCAAAAATCTGACAGTCGGTCGGTGACACATCGGCGTTTTAGAGGGCATGTTGGTCCACATACTTAATCCCAAATTTTCAATGGTTCTCATATTGGTTGCCCCCTACGTGGATGACTGTGATGTTGTTTGACTAAACAATCATTTGGCGAAAGTTCAGACGAATCTTTCCGGGGTCGAAAGGCAGCATTTTTAGCCGAATAGCATAACTACGTCCCTTGCAGTCACAGATGTTATGCAACTCAAGTCCAGGATTCCTGGACTTGTCTGGACGGACTGTCTAGAACCACTGTTACTATCCGTGCCGAAACCCTGACTGAAGGGATAAGAGGCATTGACTGTGTCGTGACGAGACGAAAGACAAAATCTAAACGAAGGATTTACTTCAGATAGTATATACGCTCAATGATCATGGAGGACTAAGTGACGTGTTGCGAAAAAGATGCAACATTTTTTTTAACCTATTCACAGCCGCAATATTCTGTTTGGCTGATTTACTTATGCAACATTTGGCACACGGCAAACCCGCCAGTCACGCTTTGTAAAGAATTTGCACTAATTGGAAGTGTTGGTATGATTGCATATCACCTCCCTGGAAAATCCAATCTGTTACAGGATTCTTACCAATAAAAAATGTTCTCGATCACCAAACTATCGCTGAAAAAATATGTGCGTCATTTATTGATCCATCTTCGTACTTAAATTATTGCAATAAATAGCAAGTAGTATATTTAACACTTTATATCCTCGGAACTTCACGACTCAAATTGTCCCACTACAATTTTAATAGCCAGCAATATATTTCAGTCAGGATATCATGCCGTCCAAACTTTACAGGATAAACACTTTTCCTTATACACTTTTATATTAATATAACGATTTCATGAGATTTCACCAAACTATGTACATATCAATCTATTTTCATTGTAAATAAAATATCAACTTTCGTATTTATGTTGTATAACTGTAGCATGCAATTACGTTTGAAAGCCTAAGCCTGTACTATGATAATAGTTTACAAGTTTATTTTTCTATTATTGAAATACTCCAACTAAAACCATTTTAAATTATATTTTGGCGCGGTTATACAACATGAATACATGTGTAAAATAGAACCTTATTCCATCGATTGTTAACCACAAATATTACACCACATTCAAGAGCCTTATATAGAGAGAAAGTTTGATGATGCGTGCATGGATTTATTAACATGCCCAACATTACGTTGCTTTGAAATTAGAGATGTATATTGGGATTTTCTTGTTACGGCAGATTTTACCCCCAACTTACACATAAATGAATGCTACCTTTATATGTACTGTTTTCTATTGAGCTGATCACCTTTGCATCTGATCAACAACGCACACTGTCCTAGTGTGGCTGTGAGGAAGGGCCCTCAGCCTGTCAAAGAACGTGAATGGCTGTGGCGGGGTTCTCTGCCGGCTTCGCTTCGCGCGCCCACCCGCCCGCGAGTAACCCGCGCGCCCCTAGCGGCCGGTGGTGGCAACGTAGCAACGCACTTTTGGCGCGGGATTCCCGTAGCCTCCCTCCCGT